GAATTCTCTACAAACGCTGTGAAAATGCTGCCATTAGAGGAGACGGCCATTTAGAGCCAGCTGGCAGAAATTCAGGCTGTAGGCGACATAAAGGCAGCTCTCCGTGGTGCTGAAAGCCTGCGCGCATTTTGGGTATCTTGTCCCGAGACCTATGACACATTGAAAACGCTGGCTATGTATGTGCTCACCATGTTCGGTTGAACCTACACCTGTGAAGCTGCATTCCCCATAGATGAACCCGATAAAAACGTACAAGAGAAAACGACTGTCAACCCAGTCTTTGGAGGACTGTTAGTGCACAAGTCTGACAGTGGCTAAGCCTGATGTTGAAAAAGTTGGTGTCAGAGGAGAATTGGAACTTTAGTCATTGATTAAGCACTGTGAGTAGCCCGTTTCAGCATTGTGATTTGAATTCAAGCCCAATTAACGTTTCATTTGACGTGCGAACATTATTTGTGAACCGTTTTGATCTGTTTATTTGCCATGCCATTTTAAGTTGTGTCAGATTGTTTTTCCTCCTTTTATAGTTCTGAGGAGTCTGCTAGTTTCAAGCATGTTGTTTAGACTTAGAAATAAATATATTATACAATTTTAAGGGCATGAGGAAAAGTTATGCGTTCGTTTTTTGTTTTTAAAACCTGTTTGAAACAATAAATGCTTAACGCCGCTTAGTCCGTCCTTGTCTGTCCTCATTTTGGAGTGTAGCCTATAGTCATAAATGGTGGTTATTCTGACAAGAGACTCGGTTGTTGTTATTTTTAGTTGCTTTAATCATTACTAATAATTTTCTTTTTGACCCTCACAATTTTGGAATCCAGTCACGGGCCTGATTAAGCCAGTTGATGATCAGTGATGTATACAGTGTTCCCAGGCTTCTTGAAAGTACTTTAATTTCAGACATATGAATTCAAAGGCCTAGAAAGTACTTAAAATGCCCGTTTCCACTGAGTGGTACAGTGCAGTACTGTTTGGGACGCTTTTACGGCTGTTTCCACTGTCAAAACGTGTACAGAACCGTACCATCCCACTTTCTCGGCACCCTTTGCAAAGGGTACCAAGGGTACCAAAAGGCAGAGCTAGACACGCAGCTGAACACTAATGGTTTACAGAGATACGTCATTCGCTTGCGCAACAAGCAGAATGAAAACAAAGGAACCTCCATGTTTTAAATAAACAGCCAAGACATTACACTGTAATAATATAAACATTATAAAAACAAGCCATAGTCACCCGAGCTTAAACAAACCTTGTCGTCGTCTTGATGAACAGCCACAAAGCCAAGAAAAACAAAATCTGTTGTGGCCTGATATTGTTTTTACGTGCCTGTCTAAAAGTGCGAGCAGTTTCACTTTGTTCAGAGAGCTCGCGATCTAAATATGGACTAAATGTCTGTTGTGTGTAATTTATCTGTAATTGGTAAGGTATCGGAAACTGTAAGGGTCTGTATGTGTTCATATATGCTGCATTTATGTATTCAATTTAATTGCAAATGTTTCGCAGTCATTGATCTGCAGTTATAATCAAATTATGTTCATAAAAAGGTTAGTAATAAACATTTATACACAAGTATTTATGTGTATAAAGCATCTGTTTAGTGAGAAGTGCTGTAGATATTTCCTCAAGCGAGATTGACATTGTCTGAAACTTTCTGCTGTAAACCACGCTCACCAAAAGAGTACCGTTGGTACCCTTTTAGCAGTGGAAACGCAAGCCTGATAAAGGTGGTGCTTACCGACCCGTACCGTACTGTACCACTCAGTGGAAACAGGCCAAAAAACAAACATGGGTTCTTGAAAGTGCTTGAATTTAAAGTTTATGGTGTCATGTCACCAATTATAATGTGCTGCTGTCAAAAACTGTACAAAGAAAATGATAAATTATTTATTTAAAAACCTTAAATGTTAGGGATGCATGATAAATCGGTGGCTGTGTCAATATCGGCTGATAAATTCTATTTTTAATGTTATCCTTGTTGGTCTGAAATTCAAACTTTTATGGTTTATAAGTTTTATATTTTTAAAATAGAATCATATAATATAATCACTATAAAATCTTCACTATGAAAACATAACATCTTAAAGATATTTATATTTATCAGCTAATATATCGGTTATCAGCCTCCAAATCTTAAGAGTTATGTTATCGATATCGGCCAAAAAAAAAATTCTGTGAGTCCCTATTAAATTTGAATCTTGTACAAAAATGATGACAAATAATGCACATTTTATCAGTATTTTAGAAACTCATTTTAATATTACCAGTATTGAATTCAACACATTTTAATAAAATTCTTTAAACATTGTAAAAGTTTTTGAAAGTGACATTCAAAACATCGTCATTACTATGACATTTTGATGTAAATGTCAGTTCTTATGTACAGGAATTACTTTTATGGTGCTACATATCCTGGCAGTGTGAATTACAAAGGAGCTTGATTTAAAATGAATACTGATTTAAAATGTCCTTGAATCTGATGTCCATGAAGGTGTTGGAACCCTGTGCATAACTTTGATATTTTCTTTTTTCCTTTTTTCTTTCAGGTTGATCATGATGTGCTAATCACAAACTCATATGAGACTGCAATGAGGACAGCACAAAACTTCCTCTCCGTTTTCCTCAAAAAGTAAGAAAAGTCTTTTGACATTATTCCAGCCACACGAGTTTACACACCATATAAACTCTAAGCCATCTGTATATAAGCAATGTCTTTCTAGAATCAATAAGACTTTGTCTAAATAGTGCGGCTATTAGATGAATGTGGAATGATGTCAATAAACGTAATTATTTAACATTATTTGTTTATTTTTCAATCTAAGGTGTGGTAGTAAGCAGGGTGAAGACGACTACAGGCCGCTCTTTGAGAACTTTGTTCAGGATCTCCTTTCTACGGTTAACAAACCTGATTGGCCGGCTGCAGAGCTACTGCTGAGCCTTCTGGGAAGGCTGCTGGTGAGTTCCGATTGATATTCACAGGTTGATTGCTGGGACACACACTTGAAAGCTGACATTATGCCCTGACTCCTCTCTGTAGGTTCATCAGTTCAGTAATAAGCAGACGGAGATGGCTCTGAGAGTGGCTTCTTTGGATTATCTGGGCACAGTGGCTGCGCGACTTCGCAAAGATGCCGTCACCAGCAAAATGGACCAGCGCTCCATCAACCGCATCCTCGGAGAGGTAAACAACAGAGTCTGTGTCATCACATGTGGGGCCAAATCAAATTGTTTTATTAGTTTTTAGTAGGGCTGCTTGATATTAGAAAAATCTGACATTGCATATTTAGTTTTGGTGCGATTAAATATTATTTACAATTTCACCGGTTAACTTGAAAACTGTTGGAAAAGAATGGAAAGAATGTATTCATTTAGAATGATTGGGATGATTTTGTAGAGGTGTAAATCATGCATAAAATTTAGTAATTGCAAGCAAGGTCAGCAAAGCAAAGATAAAAGTGAATTCAAGAGTGTTTTATGATTTCGGGGCAGTCAAGTAGCATTCAGGAAAAGACGGGGCCGGAATACGCCGGATCAGGCACCTCTGAAATCTGATCTGGCACCTCATTTTTCCGATCCCCTTCCTCAACAGCCCTCATTCCCCGTCTGCTCTTTACTTTCACTTTCTTTCGCGACTTCCCAACCCCTTCACTTTCATCTGCGACAGCCCTCCATCATGTACCACCAAACATCCCCAGTCCCCCCCCTCTTCACTTTGGTGCACGACACCTCTCCATCCTCAGGTAACATGCCGGATCTGTCACCCCGATCTCTTCCGGGACCTTGCAATTCACAAATTAAGCATTAAGCATATACTGAATATATAATAACTGAATAAAATAATTCTTCATTAAAGTTACAAGCAGTAAAATTTCTTGTGCCGGAACACATTAAACTCTGTCAGGCCTTAAAAACATGTGCAAATGAAAAAAATTCTCTCCATTTGGTTGAACACAATTCTCATGTGTTCGGTTTCTCCTGTTCAGCTATTATCATAGCTCAACATTGCACATCCTGCGATGGGACCATTGCCATATCGATGCTGAAATGATATATTGTGCAGCCCTAGTTTTTAAATTTTTATTACCTGTAATATTAATGACAATTAAAATTCAGAAAGCTTGTCTAATAACTAAAGTTACTCGGTAAAGCATAAACCTTTGTGTTAAATGGACAATTCAATGTTCTTTTCTCTTTACTACTTCTGTAATTATATTATTATGAATTCAGATTACATTTTTATTTGGTTGTACGAAAACAGAAAATATAGTGTGAACATTCCTAAAAAAAATGTTTAATTTATTATTATTGTTGTTGTTAATACTTTGAGAAGTACTTTCCACTGTATAATAGTATTAATCTCTTACAATTTCTTCAAGTAAACTGGTATTTGGATGAATATTTTACATGATACGATTGTTTTTCTCGTATAAAATAGTAAAATGCTCAGCAGCTCTGCTGACTATGTCCTCGGTCTTTTTGTGGTTTATCATTCACAACACTAGTCCATTTCTCAGTTCGTTTAGGTGTATAAGCCTACTTCTAATCATCTTTGTTCATCTAAAATCTGCATAAACAGTAAATAAAATATTTAACCCAATTCTGTCCACATGGTGTAAATCAAAGGACACTGTAGATAGACGACTGAATGAACTACTGTTTGGTGTTTTACAGAACTCAGGCAGCGATGAGATTCAGCAGTTGCAAAAGGCTCTGCTGAATTACCTGGATGAGAATGTGGAGACTGACCCATTTCTCTTGGTGAGACGTGTTAAAAAGGTCATCTTTACCACCCAAAAAACACCCCTCAAACTTTTGTTTTTAATATTTTCATGATGTCTCCAACAGTTTGCAAGGAAGTTTTACCTTGCGCAGTGGTACAGGGACACCAGCACTGAGACTGAGAAAGCCATGAAATCTCAGAGGGACGACGATTCGTCTGATGGGCCTCACCACGCTAAAGACGTCGAGACCACTAGTGAGATCTTGCAGAAAGCTGAAGCTCGCAAGAAGTTCCTCCGGTCTGTTATTAAGACCACGGCATCGAAATTCAGCTCACTGAGGTAACTTTAAACCCCTAAAACACGTTAAATAGTGAAAGTGCCACAATATTGCTGTTTGTGAATGTAATAAAAATTGCAAAGGGATTGTAGGGGTATTTTACAGTTTAAACACAAAAACCGGAAGAGCCGGAGTCAGAGATTCAATTGAAAAAAATGACTGAAGATAGTTTGCAGTTTCATCAGCAGAAGCCAACTTCAACACTTGCTATTAAGCTCTGCTTACAATCTCAAAACACCAACAAGTATACTCTTACATAACCTCATTAACTGTGTCATACATATAGTTGCTTTAACCTGATTGGTTAAAACAGAGATAGACTTTTCCATCTGCATGTGTACAATATCTAAAGCATAAAACCATCTGATCGCTACTTCAGAGCTGACCCTAGATCTGTGAAATGATCCAAAAATGAATAGAACACACACACACAAAATACAATCTGTTTCCCAAGGCTTAGTGTACTCCCTGCAGTCTTACCAAAACTGGTTAAAAAACGGCATAATCTACATCCATACTGGCAACTTGCATATAAAGGAATTACCTTTAAAAGATTTAACACAAAATGTGTAAACGGTTGTTTCCAATTCTCCAAGCATTCAGTTCCACTCAAGAGGTCTCCATGAGCTCTGACCTGGCTTAGTAGATCCTGAGGAAACAAATCATTTGGCACACTGAAAAGCAATCACACATTATTCTAGTTTTATCGGAAGCGGGATGACACTAAGGTCATCATTTAATCTAGGCTCCTAAACATTCAACTTTATTAATAATCATAAGTACATAAAGGATATGTGGTACTCTATCCTGGAGCGGACATCCATCAGAAAATTCCACCATCAGGATGATAAATGCAGTTTTTGTCTCTCAAAAGGAAGAAGTTATTACTGCCTGGAATCTGACCAATCAGAGCAAAGCAGGCTCTTAGGAAGGTGGGGTTTAGAAAGACCAAATCCTTGAACCAGCTGTTTCAGATGATGTGGTAAATAGAGCTGATGCTAAAGTGTATCTTATAAGAAAAAAATGAAGTATTTTTTGGGCTTAAATGGATGTAATCCTATTTTCAGACCTCCAAAACAAAATTAGTATCCTTATTATAGCATAACAGGGGTCATGATGTCCACTACATTCATTCCTTCATGGCGGGGCGCCACACCAAAATGCATCCCTCCACGGCTACATTACAGCTTCCCATTCAAAACATTTAGTCACTGTTGTTGTTTTTAATAGCGGATTATAATTGCAGCAAAACATATTAAAAGGTAAGTAAATTATTACAGCGCAAAGTTTTTTGTAATCGTAGTGCTGTGCGTCATTTGTTAAACCCTTTAAGGTTACGTGCTGACTGACTGACTGACTGACAGGTGCGTAATGCGTGAAGCCAGCAAACACGAGTTTGTCGCCTTTTCACTTAACTTCAGGACGCATAAATGCCGCTTTGTAGGTCTGTTGGAGACATTCATAAATATTCCTAGAAAATCTAATAAATGTAATAAATCACTACATAAGCGTGCTAAATTGCACTTCAGCAGCGTATATTTGAGGAAGCGTGCAAGAAGTTTTGTGCACAAGCAGAGGAAATCAGCGCGCAAGCACACTCGTATTACACATTATTACGATCTTGACTTCTAATACCGTGCTCACGACATTTCTACATTTGTCATTGAAATAACGCCACAGGTAGTTGGTAGATTTGTGCAAAAGGTCTGCCGCCACAGCTGGAAAACTGCTAGAGGAAACATTGGGGGCACTTTCATGATGATTGGACTACATTTAGAAGTGTTTTATCATCTCCTGTGCTTTTTTTTTTCATCAGAGTAAACTCGGATACTGTGGACTATGAGGACTCGTGTCTCATTGTGCGATATCTGGCCTCCATGAGGCCGTTTGCACAGAGCTTTGATATTTATCTCACACAGGTCAGTGGTCATCACATCTCCCAGTTTTTTCTATTCTGTTTGCATCTTGATATTTCTGAAGACATTGTTTCTTTACTCTTATTTTCTTCTCGTCATTTTGGGTTTATTTAATTGTGTGTTTGTTTGTAGAGATACTACTATATTGTTTAATTATTATACACCGTTAATTAATGTTTTTCTGGTAATCATTTAAAATGTTATTACTGTATTTTCTGAAAAAATCAAGTTACACATAAATATAAATTGAACTTATTATAAATGTAGAGTTAACTGAATTCAGAGAATTAACAGAAGGAACTGCAACACGTTAATTGCATTATAAGACTTCAGCAGTTTGCGACTTATACATTGACGGTTGTTTGGTAATGCATGCTTCAGTGAGTCAAATTACTGAATGTATTTAATTTAAATGTAGATGTTTTTAGGGTCCCACTTTATATTAAGTGTCCCTAACTACTATGTACTTACATCAAAAAAATAAATACAATGTACTTACTTTGTTTATAATGTATTTGAGAACACTTGTGGTGCTTTTGAGTTGGAATAAAGGTTGAGTTATGGACAGGTTTGCTGGTATGGGTAGGTTTAAGGGTGGGTTAAGGTGTAAGGATGGTCAACAATGTATTTACAAATGTAATTACAAAAGTTAATTACAGATGTAATTACGTACATGTATTTAATCAAGTATAAGTACACAGTAAATACATGTATTTACACAATAAGTACATTGTAACAAACTATTAAATCCTATGTAAGTACATATTAGTTAAGGCCACTTATTATAAAGTGGGACCATTTTTAGTGTTTTGAGGGATATTTAGTGACTATTTTAGAGGTTGCTGTAGGGCAAACTGTACAAATTATGTCTTAATTTTTTTTTTAGACTGCTGAATCATATTTGTCCTAGTTTCGATTGGCGCGATTATGCATTCACTATGGTATAAACCATTTTAGGGGTGATCAAATGTATATTTATACTATACATTTTCAATTATTAATATTTAAGATATAGATTAGAGATCAGGGAAAGCTATTTCTTACTATTAAAGGGCTGACCTCCCCTCCATACATCTTGTTTTGATGTCCTTCAGGGGATCAAGCGTTAATTAGGGGGGTTGGTGAGGGGTGTCAGTCCCCCCTAAACCCACCCTAATTCGCACCCTGGACTTCGGAATATAAGTTGCAGCAAATGTCAGATGTTTAAAAATGTGACTCAAACATATAATACTCTTGTTATCCATAGATAGCCATTGATACTAATAAAGTGTTACGTTATAATGTAAATGAAATATATTTGTATCTCAGTAACACACCTCCTCGTTTTCACCTGCAGATCTTGAGAGTTCTCGGTGAAAGTGCCATTGCAGTGAGAACTAAAGCGATGAAGTGTCTTTCTGAAGTGGTGGCAGTGGATCCCAGTATTCTTGCGCGGGTGAGTGCTGTTTGCAAACAATACTGTACAGATCTGAAGCTTTTTGGTGTTCTCGTTTTCACTTTTTCTAATGCTCTGCAGCTGGACATGCAGCGGGGCGTCCATGGGCGATTGATGGACAACTCCACCAGTGTGAGAGAAGCTGCAGTCGAGCTGCTGGGACGCTTCGTTCTGAGCCGACCGCAGCTCACTGAACAGTATTACGACATGCTGATCGAGCGCATCCTGGTTTGTGTTTTTTCTGAGCACTTTTACAAATCTGAATTGCAGCATTTTACAGTCAACTTGGTTTTTGCATAATAACTCCAAAACTGTTTATTCAACATTTGCCTTTAAAAAAAAACAATTTTACAAGTCTTCTAGAGTTAAACAGATGAGTTCTACCATTTTTAAATCCATTCTCATGATCTCTGGGTCTGGCGGGAGCACTTTAGGCTTAGCTTAGTATATGTATAATGGAATGCATGCAGTTATTTCCAGATAGCAGTGAAAAGCGATTGATTTGCATGTTGGTTTAAACTGATGCATGTGTTTTTTTCAGGACACGGGCATCAGCGTGAGGAAAAGAGTTATTAAAATCCTGCGAGACATCTGTCTGGAGCAGCCCACCTTCAACAAGGTCACGGAAATGTGTGTGAAGATGATCAGGAGGGTCAATGACGAAGAAGGCATCAAGGTTTGTCATGTTTCTCTCTTCTAAAATGTCTGTTTATGCATGTAAAATTTATGGAGATCATTTATTATCAATTGATAATGGGAAATAGTCTTTTTAACAAAGTAATTAGTTATTTATATTAGGGTTAAAGATGTTTTTATGGATGCATCAAAATATTTTTACAGAGGTGATTATTATTATTATTTTTTTGTATGCATAGAAAGCGTATTTATGCTTAAAGGTGCTGTATGTAAGTTTTTGACTGTTCTAAAACATAAAAATACCATAATATGTTTGTAGATATTTAAGAAACATGCTAGGTGAACATTCTTGTTTATCTGAAAAAACACTGCAGATATTCTGCTTTGAAAATGTGAGTTGTTTTTTTTTTTCAATTCACCTTTATTTGTATAGCGCTTTTACAATGTAGATTGTGTCAAAGCAGCTTCACATAAAGGATCATAGTAAATTGGAACAGAGTAGTTCAGTCTCTCAAAGAATGCACTGATGATCAAAATGCGACCTCCGGTGGACAGTAGCAGCCTTTAATATGAGACAGATTCAGGTTATTAATTAGCAAATAAAGTAGATATTATGAACGTAAACATTAGGTGAGCAGGTTACATTGTAACCTCGTGTCCTAACAACACGCTACGTGATGAGATTTGCAGTGATAAGCAATTTGTCTGTTTGCACCAGACTAAACATGGCGGAAATTTAAATACAGCCATTCAGAAGCACAGAATAGTGCACTTACTGCACTCAACAAAATGGTAAAGTTTATTATGTAATTAATACATATTAAACCTATTCAACATTATTAAATGTAGATGCTGAATCACTGATATGCGTTGACTTGCACTGAGTCACAGTTCTGAAGTCTTATTTCAAATGATTTACTTTATTTTCATAAGATCTGAGGTGAACTATCTGCTGCTGCTTTCAGTAGTATGGCAATAAATGTCATGTCAAATGGCATTCAAACTCACGTTATTAGCATTTAACACTGAATAAAGCACATGAGGTTTACCTGAGTTGTTGTTCAGCTGCAAGAAATAGAAGCCGTATTTAAAGCATACATTTCAGGTGTTGGTTAGGACCTCTTTTTGATATTGAAAATATATCTTCTATCGCGTACCATTGTTTTTAGTTAGAACAAGACTTAACACAGTCTTTAGGCTCGATATTCAGGCACACTCCTGTTGGTGTCTTCAATCTGGCAACCTGCGCTTGCGTGTTTTGAGCCAGACATGCAATACCTAGTTCAACCACTGGGTGTCCACCTTACACATTGCACCTTTAAATAAGCCTCTGCTTTTATGTTTTTAGTGCCAAGTTTAAAATGACAATTCTTTTAAATATAGTTTTTTTAATTTGTCATTATATAAATATTGTTCTAAATATACTTGACATTATTTTGGTTTGTAAACTATTGTTATATTAATAACATATTAGTAGTCATTTTTACCTTTTGGTAAAAATGGTTGATTTTAGTCTTAATTTTTTTTGCTCAGAAAAAATGTGAAACAGGACATATATCTACTGAAAATTAAACTATTACGAAAAGTTTTTTTTTTTTGCAATTGTATATCTAAGATGCTATTCAACATTTATCCATTGCTTTTTAAAAATAAATAATATTGCCTCGTTATAACCAAGAAAAACTATTTTACTGTCTTGTGCAGAAATTGGTGAATGAAACGTTTCAGAAGCTCTGGTTCACTCCTACGCCCAATCACGATAAAGAGGCCATGACGCGCAAGATTCTCAACATCACAGACGTGGTAAGGACCTGCAAAATTCATCTGCAAACCCCAAAACGTGTGTTGTAATACATTAAGTTTAAGAACACATTATGTCCCGCTGACGCGAGTCATTGTCTCTCAGGTCGCTGCCTGCAGGGACTCCGGTTACGACTGGTTCGAGCAGCTGCTTCAGAATGTAAGTTGCCCATTAATGGGATTTGTTTTTCCAATGTTTAGTAGTTTTTAATTCAATTTAGAGGTTATTTGAAACAGTAAAGTACAGTTTTTGCGGCGGCTGTGACCTAATGGTTTCTGAGTTGGGCTTGTAACCCAAAGGTTGCTGGTTTGATTCCCGGTTCTGGCAGGAATAGGAGATTTTCACATTAGTCAGTATTGATAATTATCATGAGTAAAGTTTTTTTAATCTATTTTAGAGCAAATTACAGTAAAAAAAGACAATAGCAGTTATTATCCACATATAGTGAAATATAAAAAAATATCGTTATTAGGGATGCAACGATTAACTGATTTTACTATTACTGTGCATTAAATTATCACAGTTAAATAATCGTAAAGGCTTCTCAACACCGCATTTCTGTTGCACAGATACATATAATAACGAGCAATGATTGACCTGAGCTCAAACAAATCTTGTCATCGTCTTGATGAACAGCCACAAAGCCAAGAAGAATAGCTGAATCTACCCTGTGCCTCATTGTTGTTTGCAAGTCGTCTACAGCGCGAGCGGTTTCACTTTCTCGGGAGAGCTCGTCTGCCTGTCTATATTTAAAAAGGCAAACTTTTTTAGCTAATGATAATAACGTTGGCATGATTATCAAAGTGCTTTTTGACATCTGATCATTTTTAGAAACAGATTATTACAAATTATTAAAATAATTATGTATGTGTAACAACAGCTCATTTAAATACTTAGCTAATATATAGCTTAGATTTATATTAGACAAATACCACTTTTTATTTATTCTTATTTTTATTCATTTATTTATAGATCATTCTCTCATTTATTTTCAGTGTAAAATTATTACTTAATTTTAAAATACATTTTTTTTCACTTATTTTTAAGCCCAAAGAGAGAAATGGACTATTGTTTGTTTTTTGTTTTTTTTATCATTTTCTGCTGTATTATGTGGTTACTGCGCAGCAATAAATAACACTTTAAAATAAAAGTAGAATGCATAATAATCGTAATACCCATAATTATTCTCACACTGTAATTGTACAACCAAAGCCTATACTCGTTGCATCCCTAATCAAAAGTAATGTTGTAGGAATTAATGCATTTTTATATAGAATATGCTGGTTCCTATTTTAAAGGTGTAGTTCATTTAAAAATGAAAATTTTGTCATAATTTACTCTTGTTTAAAAAGTTTATGAGTTTCTTTCTTCTATTGAACACAAAAGAAGATACTTAGAAAAATGTTAGAAACCTGTGACCATTGACTTCCATATTTGTTTTTCTTAGCATGAAATTCAATGGTTACAGGTTTTCAGCTTTCTTCAAAATATCTCCTTTACTGTTCAATGGAAGAAATAAACTCATAAAGGTTTGGAACAAGTAAAGGATGAGTACATTTTCATTTTTGGGTGAACTATACCTTTAAATGACTTCTTTGGCTGTGAAATTTTAGTTAGAATTCATCAAAATGCAATGACATTTTTAGTCCCTGCATACTCTAGAAGAAATGTGTAAAGCAATGTACCTTATTTCAGAAAGACTAACCATTGATGTAATCTCTGTTGTCAGCTGTTAAAATCAGAGGAGGACGCCTCATACAAACCGGCCAGGAAGGCTTGTGCTCAGCTGGTGGACAGTCTTGTGGAGCACATTCTGAAATATGAGGAGTCTCTCGCTGGTACGGCCTGCATTAAATTATGAAGCCGAGGATTTACCTTAGCTGAAGTTTCGCTGAGTTTTGTTGTCTTGTTGTTTTGCAGACTGTGAGAATAAGGGGTTGACGTCCAGTCGCTTAGTGGCCTGTATCACCACGCTGTACCTGTTCAGCAAAATCCGACCGCATCTGATGGTGAAACACGCCATGACTATGCAGCCCTACCTGACCACAAAGTGTAACGTGAGTATTGCTTTTGAGAAACCTGACGGATTTAAAGAGGAACTATTATGCAAAATATCACTTTTATAAAAGGTTTAAACACAGTTATGTGGTGACAGTCTGCGAATATAACCAGTTTCTATTGGTAAAAATATATTAATTACATTTTTTTATAGTCACATTGGATTGTCTGCAGAAACTTTTTGATTGACATTCCCCCTTTGTATGTGTCATCAGAGGGGAAAGCCCAGCCCACTATTGAAAATCTCTCCCTCATTACCACAGGATGTTTTGAATCTGCCACTATGCTGACACATAGACATTTGTAGCTCCACCCTCTTTTAAAAATAGCAAATTTCATTTGAATTTAAAGCAACAGTCACCATAATCGCAAAGTTAGGATCACAGCCTAAAAAGGATTGTTTCAGAGTTTTAAAACATCATTTGTAAAGTATTTTGAGCTGACACTTCACATACGAACTCTAGGGACATCAGAGACTTATTTTACATAATTACCTAATAAGCCCCCTTTGAATTGTCTTGTGTTGCTATGTTGAGGCGGGAGAGTGATGGTGCGCTGTGTGTGTCTTATGTTTTGCAGACTCAGAGTGATTTTATGGTGATCTGTAATGTGGCGAAAATCCTGGAGCTTGTTGTTCCTTTGATGGACCATCCGAGTGAAAGCTTCCTCACCACTATCGAAGAAGACCTGATGAAACTCATCATAAAATACGGCATGACGGTCAGTTAAAGTGTTAATTTAGTTTTAGTTTTGACCTAAATGTGATTTGATTATTACATTTCAACTTGCCAAAATGAATAAAAATTACACACAAAACTTTGTTCTGAACTGTAATAGTTTATTTAATCAAACCTAATGCTGACAGAAACGAAACAACTGATGGAGTATACACTAACCTGCACATTATTCAGTCACAAGATGGTGCCATACAGTCAAAAATGCAAAGCAAACAAAAACAGCTGATGGAGTATACACTAACCTGCACATTATTCAGTTACAAAATGGTGCCAAACAGTCAAAAACGCAAAGCGAACAGAACAAAAGCAGCTGACAAAATATACACTAACCTTCGCATTATTCAGTCACATGATAGTGCCAAACACTCAGAAATACCAAAGCTGATAGAAACAAAAATTGTTAAATGGAGCATAGACTTGCCTACATAATACTTTTAAAGAAGACCGACACCCAACAGTCAAAAACAGCACGTGACAAATAAACATTTGACTAAAGAATATAGATGTAAACATATGAATACGAACGTATAATTTTAGAATAGCATGCCTTGAAATGTCGCTACTGACCAATCAGAATCAAGTATTCCAAACCACCATGTAATAAATCAAAATTATGAATCCAGAACTCTTTTAAACCATGTGTTTACCGTCTATCACCTTTTAAATGCAAGAATGTACCACTTGAGTGCACACACACACACACAATTTATATACCTTTATTTAGATCAACTGGGGCTCTGATAATTTGGGCAAGCCCTAATAAAGAAGGGGGTACTCCAAAGGAAAGTTGGATAACTCTTAATTTTCACATGGCATCAAGTCTATACTTATTCCCAAAACATGCAGACAAAAGGTTTAAGCGTTACCATTATGCAATCATCTTTATGTTCCTCAGGTTGTGCAGCACTGTGTGAGTTGTCTTGGCGCAGTCGTCAATAGGGTGACCCATAACTACAAGTTTGTCTGGTCTTGTTTCAACCGCTACTATGGTGAGTAAAGTCTGACCGTTTGCACTGATCTGTGATTTCTCAGACTGTCGGTCACTTGAATATTCTTCTTCTTGGATATGCAGGAGCACTGAGCAAGCTGAAGATGCAGCATCAGGAGGACCCAAACAGCACCGTCCTGGTCTCTAATAAACCTGCACTGCTGCGCTCGCTCTTCACCGTCGGTGCGCTGTGCAGACATTTCGACTTCGACCAGGAGGAGTTCAAAGGAAGTAATAAGGTCAGACCCTCAATCATGGGATGCTACTTGTGGGTTTTTAAATGGAGTAAATATAATTAGACTTTAATTCAAGATGACTGTCAATTATGTGGTCAGTACTTGCATATGACAAACTAATACGTCTATTTATCTATTTATTTATTTATTTAAATCAACTAAGCTTTTTTTTCAGTTAATTTCACAATATCTAATAGTTCTTTAAGGATCAAGACAACCAAAAACAACATTATTCAGGATTGTAATTTATTACAGATTTCCTAATTTTATGTGGGATGCACTCTGTATATAATATTATACAATGATAATGTGTGGGTCTTTAATGTGCCCCTACTAATATACAAGATGATGACTTTCGCTTTTGAATTCAACAGTGCATGCACTGCACAAGTTAGTGTTCGGATAGTGTTCCACCTAGTGGATCGGATAATTTCGCTTGTGTATATACTTTAAAATGTTACAATAAAAACAACTCTTCATGTGCTCTCTAGACACTATACATAGTTCTATACCAAGTGTGCCGCAAGCCTACGTTTGAGTGAAGGTTTCGGCCGTTAGATCGCCCCCTGGGGGCTGGCTGCAGTACAAGTCATAAAGCCTGCCTCCTCCGTGTTAATGAAGGAGACTTGAGCCCAAATAAAAAAAAATATTACACTTGCAATAAAATGTCCCGAAAGATAGTTCTGGTCGATTAAGGCACTGGTTATTGTGCTGAAATAGGTGCAGATCTTCATTTTTGTAAACAGTTTGTTTTTAGCAGTAATTTAATACTGGGCGTGTCATCGTGATTGACAGCTGTGATTGACAGTTTCTCAAAGCGCGGCGTCTGAGCTTCGGCAGGAGACTGAAGTAGACTGAAATGTTATTATTCGATTTCTGTGTTATTTTACCATGACAAAATGAGTTCAGCAGTAAACTATAGTTTCTGACATACATGATCCTGGTGGAACACTGTTTATTCGCTAAGGTCAGGGCTTTTTTTCGGGCTTTATTAGTTTGCTGATACACGCCTAGCCACCCAGATAGCAAAACACAGTTTCGGCTAGATTCTCGCCTGCCGGAGACTTATCTCTTAGAGCTCAGACTGACTAATGTTACCTCTGCTGGACCTACTCCGGATGCCAGGACTCACTGCCCGATTCCAGTCCGAGTCAATCGAGCCAGATGCGGCGGCCGAGCGAGCAGGCGCTGCCGCATGCGAGCCGGAATCAGCCCGCGACGCCGCGAGTAAGTTATGCGCTGCGGCCCGGAGCTGGCGCGATTGAATATATAAAACCCTCATATTTGTTAACGTTATTACATCCATTTGTGTTGATATGACAGCAAACGCATGCTGAGAAGTTCGGGGGGCGTGGTTGATTTTACATAAAGCGTTTGATTGGAAGCTCGACTCTGCTCATTTTCGCGGCTCCTCCTCTGGCTCCATCAGACAATCCTTCTGCGCATGTCTGGCTCCAATTTCAGCAGTCTTTTGCGACAGTTTGTGCCCGTCAAGCAGGCGTTTTGCCCTCAAGGCGTTCAATGGGGAAAAGGGCTGTCGCGTCGTCCATATTTTTTACAGTCATTGTTCTATACTCATTGCTGTGCTGTTTTTTATTTAAAAATTACTTTTTTTTTTTTTTTTTAAATTGTCATTAGTCGGTTTTTAAAAAGTCTTTAAAAAGTCTTACATTTGCCCTCCTAATACCTGTAGGAACATGTTTTATGCTCTTAACAGTATAGTTAAATATATAAATGAATTTGTTTAATTGTTTATTCTTTAAATCACTTAATGCTTTTGTATTTTAGTTACAAAACATAAAATTACTCAGATTTAAGTGTGAAGAAAACTTAGTATGAAGTCTTATGAAGTAAATTATAATGAATTTATTATATTACTAGTGTTACAAATAAAGTAATTATTATTCTCTCTCTCTATGTATATACATTTATATGTGTATATACACTCAACGGCCACTTTATTAGGTACAACTTACTACAGGCATGTCCAAACTCGGTCCTGGAGGGCCGGTGTCCTGCAGATTTTAGCTCCAACTTGCCTCAACACACCTGCAGGGATGTTTCTACTAAGCCTAATAAGAGCTTGATAAGCTAGCCCAGGTGTGTCTGATTGGGGTTGGAACTAAACTTTGCAGGACACCGGCCCTCCAGGACCGAGTTTGGACATGCCTCACTTACTAGTACTGGGTTGGACCCTCTTTTCCCTTCAGAATGGCATTAATCCTTTGTAGCAAAGATTCAACAAGGTACTAGAAATATTCTTCAGAGGTTTCGGTCCATATTGACATAAAAGCATCACGCAGTTGCTGCAGATTTGTCAGCTGAACATCCATGATGCGAATCTCCTGTTCCACCACATCCCAAAAGTGCTCTATTGGATTGAGATCTGGTGACTGTGGAGGCCATTTGAGTACAGTATCCTGCTGAATGTAGCCATCAGAAGATGGGTACACTGTGGTCATAAAGGGATGGAAATGGTCAGCAATAATACTCAGGTAGGCTGTGGCGTTGTTATGATGCTTAATTGGTACTAACGGGCCAAAAGTGTGCCAAGACAATATCCCCCACACCATTACACCACCACCAGCCTGAATTGTTAATACTAGGCTGGATGGTTCCATGCTTTCATGTTGTTTGCGCCAAATCCTGACCCTACCATTCAAATGCCGCAGCAGAAATCGAGACTCATCAGACCAGGCAACATTTTTCCAACTAACTAATTTTGTTGAGCCTGGGCAAATTGTAGCCTGTTCTTAGCTGACAGTAGTCGCACCTGGTGTGATTTTTCTGCTGTTGTAGCCCATCTACCTCAAAGTTGGATGTGTTGTGTGTTCAGAGATGCTCTTCTGCATACCTCGGTTGTAACAAGTGGTTATTTGAGTCAATGTTGGCTTTCTATCAGCTCGGCCCAGTCTGGCTATTCTCTTCAACAAGGCATTTGCACCCACCAAACTGCTGCTCACTGGATATTTTCTCTTTTTTGGACCATTCTCTCAGTTTGAACTGCAGCAGATTGTCTTGATCATGTCTACAAGCTAGTTTACTTGGATACCAGAAATGTTTATAGATATTAGAAAAATAGAGATTTATTTTAAATAATTAGTATACAGTATGTGAAACAGTATTTAAACAGTACGTGCTTTGACAAAATAATGCAAACCATTAGCCTAAAATGTTGTAAAAATATCCTCAGCTAATTTTATCATAAGTATGAGGAATGTCATGTAATCAGAAATACTCGTCTTGTCTTTCAGGTGGTCATAAAGGACAAGGTGCTAGAACTGCTGCTGTATTTCACTAAGAACGATGATGAGGAGGTGCAAACCAAAGCCATCATTGGTCTAGGTAAACATCTGCTCTCCATAAACACTGAAATTCTTGACTGCATTCGCAATGAATAAAACCATGGTCTGTTGGTTCTGCAGGGTTTCTGTTCATCCAGGACCCAGGACTCATGTTTGTTACAGAGGTGAAAAACCTCTACAACACCCTCTTGGCCGACAGGAAGACATCAGTGAATCTGAAGATTCAGGTGTTGAAGAACCTGCAGACATACCTGCAGGAGGAGGATTCCCGAATGCAGGAGGCCGACAGAGAGTGTGAGTCTCACTTATACAGCACACACTTCTGTTCTCAGTGCAGTAATAGCTAGAATTGCACCATTCAGGATAAATTGACAGTCATGGTTTTCTGTATCAAGTAATACGATCATGATTCTGAATTGAAAACAAAACATGATCAGTTATATGGAGAGGTTAATTACTGCATTAAAAAATAATCCATTCAAATGAATTGGTAAAAAGTCATTACTTTGATCAAGAAAAGTAAAAGGTTTGATAATAGTAATAAAAAATAAGTTTCTAATTATTTTCTGATCTATTGTCTTTTCTATGTCTTTTATAAATATATAAAGAAATTCACATTCTAGTCTATTTTTTGTTCTATCATTTTACATATAAAATACTTAAATACTTTTTTATTAAAGAAACTTTTCTTTATATGCATTTCTGTATTATGCAAGGTGTATTTATCTGTTTTCTTTATGTATTTATTAAAAAACAATACAAAAACTTTTCTGTAGTGTATATTAGAAGGATTTCTGGAGGTTTGTGTGACTGGCTTAATGATGCTAAAAAATGAAATCACAGGAATAAATTACATTTTAAATTATTGTCTAATACGTTTTTCTTTTTTTATTTATTTTTAATAGTATACATACATATATATATATATATATATATATATATATATATATATATATATATATATATATATATATATATATATATATATATTTTATTCACAAAGACAGTCTCAAGCCTGGTTTATACTTCTGCGTCAAGTGACCGGCGTAACCCACGACGCATGCAACACGCGTAGCTGTGCATTATACTTCTGCGCGCTGTTTCTGTTGGTCTGCATTAACACTTCCAAAACGCTAGTCGGCAGTGAGGTGTTAATGTTCCTCTGTGTCGAGTTTCTTCGCTGGTGTTTTGTTCTTTCTGAACGCTTCCGGGATGTACAAGTGGCTCAAACTCATTTTGAGGCAGGAACTGGCGGACGTGCAACAACTTTAACTATGAGGTAAACACAAAACAAAACTTTCCATCCGGAGCTCCTTCACGGGACTCCACACCTGTAAACAATCGCTCCATCAGACTAGTAAGTACTACCAAGCCGACTAATCACAGAGCTTGCGATACGCGGCGTTGCAACGTGTAGTTACATTTTTTGGGTGGTGCACGTCAGCCACGGCGTAGGGCTATGCGTCAATGCGTAGGCTACGCTGTGGCATACGTGTGCGCTTGACGCAGAAGTATAAATCAGCCTTTAATCATGCAAATCTCGAGCTGGATTCTGGTCTGATTGTGTCTGTATTCTCTGTGCAGGGAACAAATTGTCCAAGAAGGAGGACCTGAAGGAAATGGGCGACATCTCGTCCGGCATGAGCAGCTCCATCATGCAGCTCTACCTCAAGCAGGTGCTGGAGGCTTTCTTCCACACGCAATCCAGCGTCAGACACTACGCCCTCAACGTCATCGCCCTAACACTTAATCAGGGGCTCATTCACCCTGTACAGGTACATATCAACACTCCATGTTTCTGGAAAACATCTTTCCATTCCTAATGTGCTTCACACAAAATAAAATTCTGTCAAATAGAGGTGTTAAAATGAATTGTTTCTTCGATGCACAGTGATGCATCGAAGATGAAATAAACAAATAAGACTTTCTCCAGAAGAAAAAGCATTATAGGAAATACTGTGAAAATGTCCTTCCTCTGTTAAACATCATTTGTGGAAATATTTGAAAAAGAAAAGAAAATTCAGAGGGGGTGAATAATTCTGACTTCAATTGTATATTGTAATATCTGCTGAAGGAGTAAATGTAAACGTCCCACGCTACACAGACCCTCCTGAAGTGACCCTCTCAGTGTCCTGAGTTTAATATCTCATTTTCTCCATCAGTGTGTCCCATATTTGATTGCGATGGGAACCGATTCAGAGCCCACAATGAGGAATAAAGCTGATCAACAGTTGGTGGAGATTGACAAGAAGTACACAGGCTTCATTCATGTGAGTGGTTTTGAACAGCAAACATGCATTTGTTATTTACAGTGACGCAATACGTAATATGTTTATCTAGAACTCAGTCTATAAAATGCTTACTTAAATGACCACTATGTTACAAAGCAGGGTTAAAATAGCTCAAACTAAAATCTGTAGTTTAAAAAAGGGGCTTAAGATTAAACTGAATTAAAATGAATAGAGAGCACAACAAACTGAAGTTATTGTAGGTAACTAAAGCAAAGATAATGAAAAAAACTGGAATAACGTACTTAAGTAAAACTAAAACCCAATTTTGTTAATTGTAATAAGCGTTAATTATTAAAAAATTGACTTATTTCATTTTAGCCAAATCAAAATTTGCTTTAACAACATTTATTTCACTTATAATAATTGTAGCTAAAGTAAAAGTAAATAAGAAAACTAAAACAATGTAGTCATAGATATACATTTAAAAAATCTATAACATATAAAAATGACAAAAAAAGAAGAAACAACTATCGCTAAAACTTATGCCAAATAATATGAAAAAAGAAAGTTGGATTGATAGTTGCCATGGTAAAATGCTTCAAGTTTTAGGGCAAAATAGATTAAATAAAATAATTAAAACTGGGATAAAATTAGCAAAAGCAATTTGTTTTATTTAATCAAAAAATGTGTTTTTATATGTATACTAAAATAGGACAAAATTAACAGCTAGTTTTCCAAGCAACATTTCTAATTTCCATCAACATAATGTAATAAATAAACTGATATAAAACTAATTAAAGTAATTTACTGTAGTAATTTCTTATAGCAGTAACTGATAAATTCACAAAAAAAAAAACGAATTTAGTTTTAAATTCATCTCAATAATGCTAAAACAACATCATAACATATTTTATTCCAGCTAGTTGGCAAGACCTATTTTTCCTTTTCCTGTACTCAAATACTTCAATTATACATAAAAAAACATAAAAAATCTAAAATAAAGTAAAAATTGAATAAAAATTACAATAAAACTTTTAAAAAAATCAACCAAATGAATTTGAAAAACCATACCAAACTGATTTAATAAACTGATAAAAATAGCATCATTACGAATTTATTTCAGCTAAAAATACTTAAATTATACAAAAACATTGCAAGTCTAAAATAAAGTAATACTTGAATAAAAATGACAATAATACTTAAAAAAATAAACCAGATAAATTAAAAAATCATAACGAACTGATTTAATGAACTGATAAAATAACATCATTACGAATTTATTTTATTTCAGCTAGTTGGCAAGGCACATTTTCCCCTTTCTTTTACTTGAATACTTAAACTATACAAAAAAAAATACTACAATAAAAAATCTAAAATAAAGTTAAACTTAAATAAAAGTTACAATAAAACTTTAACAAATAAACCAAATAAATTAAAAAAATCATAACGCACTGATAAAATATAATCATAACAAACTTATTTTATTTCAGCTAGTTGGCAAAGCACGTTTCATTTTCTTTTACTAAAATACTTGAAATATACTAAAATTAAAATAATAATAATTACAAATTTATTCAAATGAAGTAAAACTTAAATTAAAATTACAATAAAACTTAAAAAATAAACTAAAGCAAATAAAATGATGAAATCTGCATGAAGCATAAGATCAAGACTTGAAGAGATTATGCCAACCATCGAAGACTTTACGGACAACACACACACTCTTAAACACATATCATTGAATCATGGACATCACCCATATACCATGTAACTCCAGGTTAACTGTGTTTATATATATATATATATATATATATATATATATATATATATATATATACATACATATATATATATGTATATGTGTGTGTGTGTGTGTATGTATGTGTATGTATATATATATATACACACACACACACACATACACACTCACACACACACACACATATACATATATATATATATATATATATATATATACATATATATATATATATATATAATAACTTTAACTGTTAAAAGCTATTAGTTACTAGTTAATTAATGAAAGATTTACTTATGGTATCTAATAGCCTTATTTTGATTGTAATGCAATAATGTCCACCTTTTGTTAAGCTGCATTGAAACAATAATTAATGTGAAAAGTGCTATACAATTACAATTGAATTGAATGATGGTGTCGTCCAATTAGATGAAGGCTGTGGCGGGGATGAAGATGTCATATCAGGTGCAGCAGGCCATCGTGGGCTCGAAGGACACTGTGATCAGGGGTTTCCGGCTGGACGAGAGCAGCACAGCTCTGTGTTCACATCTGTACACGATGGTGCGTGGAAACAGGCAACACCGCAGGGCTTTCCTCATCTCACTGCTCAACCTGTTCGACGACAACACGGTTAGTTTTTTCTTTCATAACCTCTGTGTAATTAATACATGTGTCAATTTCTACAAATTCCCGTGATCATTAATCCTTAACCTTAATGCAGATTTTGTAAGGGTTCTGGAAATCCAGGAAAATGCTTGAATCTAGTGTTTTAAGGTTTGGAAAGTGCTTATATTTGGGAGAAAAAAGTGCTTGTAACTGCTTGGATGTTCAATCCTTACTTTCATAATAATTTATCTTGCTAAATAGTTTTCTATTTAAACAAAATACTGTAACCCAAGCACAGCGCACACATAGCAACACAACAAAACAAGATGCAACAACACACTATAAACCACACAACAACTTGAAACACAACAACAAACATGGGGCCATTCACATATCATGTCTTACGAACGGAAGACTAATGGAGGCACACATGCTTGAGAGTGCATATTGGGAGCAACACGCTTTCCAGGCACACCAAGTTGAAAACATCTCAACTTTTCAAAATTTCATGAGCTCATGAGTAGAACTGACTAATCTGACCGATTTGCATCATACTTTGTATGGAATATGCACATTTCAGTAGACCTATTACACAGAATACCCAAATGCCGCAGTACTTTTTATTTTCTCCCTAAATAAAACTTGTATCAGAGCTACAGCAATGTTTTGTTAGTGCGTCATCTTCTGAGAAAACATTTGATAGTCACCGAGCAATGACAGATGACAAATGAGCACAAGCGAAAATCATGTTGAAAATGATGAAGGAAGTGACGCATTAGATAGGGATGTCCAGATCTGATCATGTGATCGAAAATCGGGCCTGATCATGTAGTTTCAGTCTCAATCGGAATTGGAAGTTACCTCCCGTTCACGCCTCGAATATACATGTATATTACATATAATCTCATTATTTTTTAAAACATCTAAAGTTATACTGTGGCACAGAGTTAGACCTATTTTATGACTCCACACAGAAACAGCAACACGTGAGACATGACATTACTTTATTGCTTAAATGCTGGCAAAGTAGAACACAGAAGCAGCTTGATGTGGAGAGCGCGAGTATGTCTGCAATCTGGAGGTATTATCAAGTTGATGACGACAATATTGCCAAAGCAAACTGTGAGATATGTAAACTTGGGATTGCCTGCAGGGTATTTTAAGTTGAGGTTATTTGTTTTTATATTAGCTTTTTTATATTTTCTGTTGCAAAAGAGAAGAATTGATGTTATTTATTACATGATTGTTCAAGCTACCTCACAGAAGTGCTCTGTTTGTAACGAAATTGTTGAATGTTAAAATAAGGTGAATTAAATAAAAAATAAGGAACATCCTGGATCCGTTTCTTCGCTCTTCTTAATTTCTTTTATGTATTTTAGAAGTATCGGATAAATCTAATGACTCAGACTTAGCCTCGAGGGCAAAACAAAACCTGATCAGGACATGCCTACTTTTAGATGTTACATGTGAACTTCCCCTTATGCCTCATTCACAACTTTGTCGCTGCTTGTCACTCTGGGTGGCGATTGAAGTCAGTAGTGGACATTCCCACCTTGGGGTTGTGTAGGTAACGTTTATGGTGTTATTCACCGAAAGCAAATGAGTTAAGTGCTGCTAAAAATAAACTTTGTTCAAAGAAAACAGTAAATATAATTGGAATCAGTGCAAAAAAATGCTAAATTGCAATGATGATCAAGAAAAAAAGTGTGTTCTCTGTCATTGTGGCTTTTTATCTCCTGCAAACGCGGGTCTGTGTTGGTCTACAGCATGGGTAATACAACTGGCCTCTGCAGGAGCTGAGAGAGGATCACATGAGCTCTACTGTATTGGCTGTCACTCAAGAAAGTCGCTCTTTATTTAAATAAAGTTTGCAACTTTGTCCCACCGCCCAACATGCCCACCTGGTCACCAACGGTCGCTCACGTGAACAAAGGTCTCCGGAAGTTGCTCTCCGTTAAAATGAATGGCTGCTTATTGCTTTGCTTAATGCAGAAACAACACAACTTACAACACAAGAAAACAACATATGCAACACAAAATAGCACAAACCAACTCAGCAAAACACAACAACATTTAGCAAAATACGCAAACCAATCTTGGGTTTTAAGTAACAGTAAACTGAAACTTACCTGGTTAGTCGGCAGATGGTACTGGCTTCATAGTACAGGCCCCTGATGTGTGTTTCGGATGTGTTGATTAATGCTGGTTTATTTTGTTGTGATGCAGAAGTCGGATGTGAACATGCTGCTGTACATCGCAGACAATCTGGCCAGTTTCCCCTATCAGACTCAGGAGGAGCCGATGTTCATCATGCATCATGTGGACATTACACTGTCTGTGTCCGGCAGTAACCTGCTGCAGTCCTTCAAAGAGGTCTCTCCATTATACACTTAATTCAACTCTCTTACATGTTAGATGATTATTAAAATAGCATCAGATGTAGACTAGTTTTATAAGCAAATGTCTTTTTCTTATTATGATGGTGATTTTTACAATAACAAAATGTTGTGACTGTATAGAAAACGCAAATGAAAAAGAAAGTAGTGATTTCCAAATTTACTTTGACTTTAGCATTTTTTTTTTATTTTATTGCAGACTATATGAGCACAAAATGTTTAATCTTTTGTCAGGTCAACTTCAGTTCATTTGTAAAGATACATCCTTTCCTGTCATTCAGACATGCAACACCTTGCAAAAAAAGTTGGGACAGGAGCAGTTTAGGGCTAATAATCAGGTCAATTGGGTAAATATTGATGTGATTTAAAACAAGTGGTGTCAACAGGTGATGGTAAGTATTGTACAAAAGCAGCATCTAAGAAAGCTCTACTCCTTTAGGAGCAAAGATGGGCTGAGAATCGCCAGTTTGCCACAAATATAGTTAAATTCAGAATTATTAGCCCCCGTGAATTATTAGCGGCCCTGTTTATTTTTTCCCCCAGTTGACTTTTTCAGCACATTTCTAAATACAATAGTTTTAATAACTCATTTCTAATAAGTGATTTATTTTATCTTTGCCACGATGACAGTAAATAATATTTGACTAGATGTTTTTCAAGACACATCTATACAGCTTAAAGTGACATTTAAAGGCTTAACTTGGTTAATTAGGCAGGTTAGGGTAATTAGGCAAGTTATTGTATAATGATGTTTTGCTCTGTAGTCTATCAAAACAAATATATAGCTTAAAGGGGCTAATAATTTTGTCCCAAAAATCTTTTTTAAAAATATCAAAACTGCTTTTATTGTAGCTGAAATAAAACAAATAAGACTTTCTCCAGAAGACAAAATTTTATCAGACATACTGTGAACATTTTCTTGCTCTGTTAAACATCATTTGGGAAATATTTTAAAAAGAAAATATATTCAAAAGGGGTGCTAATAATTCTGACTTCAACTGTACATCTGAAAATTATTGAAATGTTTAAAAACAATGTTCCTCAAAGAAAGAGAGGAAGACATTTGGATATTTCACTTTCAGCAGTGCCGAACATAATTAAAAGATTAGAAACGAATCTGGAGGAATTTCAGTGCGTAGGCGACAAGGGTGCAAGCCTAAGCTGAACTACCATGATCTCCAATCCTAAGGCAGTGCGTGAAGAATTGTAATTCATCTATAAACGATATCACCACATGGGCTCAAGACTACTTTGGCTAAATCTTTCACAAGTACCCTAATACGTAGTTGCATCCACACATGCCAGTTAAAACTACTGTGCCAAGAGGAAGCCCTGTGTTAACAGTAATTGTGTGTGTTTATTAGTGTTGTATATATTATTTATCTTTATTTAAATTACATTTTAGTCATTTAATCCTTTTGCATTTGAATTACTTAACATTTATTTGTTTAGCTATTCTGTTCATTTCAGTGCTTAAAGTAAAATGGCTGCTAAGACAATTTTCCCATCTACTATATACAGTTGCAGTCAGAATTATTTAACCTCCTGAATTATGAGCCCCCTTTATTAATATTTTCTCCAATTTCTGTTTAGTGGAGAGCAGATTTTTTTCAACACATTTCTACACATAAT